TTGTCATGTCTGATTCTGCAGCCCATCCTTTGAATTTCTATTGCTTTGGTTGAAGTCTCCAAAATAATCAGCCTCGCAGAGATATGTAGTTGGAAAAGGGAGGAGTATTCTAATGGCCTTTTCAGGTAACTGTGGACATTTGCCTTTGATACTCTCACAAAGCCCAACACATAGTAATTTATTAAAAGTTAGTTGCAATGGGGGATCAGAAACCATACCAATGAACTTTTCATACTTCATTACACTGAAATCCATTGATCCACCTTGCGCTTTGAATAGATCTTTCTCCATGCGTGATTTCAATACATCATGCATTGGGCATCTGGAAAGTACTGGTTCACTGAATTTCCAAAAAGCTCTCATTTGTTAATATCAATATATCACCAAATGATCTCATCCGACAGTTTTCAAGTATTGACAAGCTGTTAAGCCCACAGTACAGATACAATTTTTCAGAAGTTTTAATATTAATTTGAAAGTTCAAATGTTATTACTGGCAACAAATACTGTCTGTGGTTTTTCTTGAAGTGACAAGCTCACTTTAAAAAAAAAATAGTCTGCTGGATACTCAAGTCTGATTAAGCAACGTTTGTTGGTTGTTGCCATAAAAATGACATTAAATGACATTCCATGAGAAAAGTGTTAAGTCAGCTTGCAACTCCAACATAAGTCCTTTTCCTTGAGACAACCATCATGCTTCAGTAGGCAGACAATGCACTTTATGTGGACTTGCTATTTGTCCCATACTATTTTTTTAAAATATATTTTATTGTTTTTTTACAGAGAGGAAGGGAGAGGGATAGAGAGTCAGAAACAGCGATGAGAGAGAAACATCGATCAGCTGCCTCCTGCACACCCCCCACTGGGGATGTGCCCGCAACCAAGGTACATGCCCTTGATTGGAATTGTCCCATACTATTAAAAACATCCATACTCGAAGGTTGAAACAAGAAAATTAATAATTTTTACTGCTTCATTCAAAGCACTTTCAATTAAAATTGTCATTTTATTTTACTGTGAGTATGTGGTGATGCAGAACAGGACAGTGAGTGCAGTTTGGTGTTACTGTCTTACTTTGTACTGAGGGGCCACCTTTGCTCTTGCATCATCGGTGTCAATGTCAATTGACTTGTCTCAGGGTAAACTGTAAGATTTGAAAAGTTATTCTTTAGTGAATAGCTCACTACCACATGTGTTTATTGCTAAGAATATTCCTATAAAATGGCCTTCTTTGGTGATTAGTTGTTTCTGATGCCAGGTGAAGACAAGTGAAACAGGAAGTCCAGCCACGAGTATAGATGAATTCATTTGTAAGTCCTGAGTACAATTCCACAGGCAAGATCTCAACTTGTCTTTGTGTTTGCAGCTTCACCTTGGATCCAGTAAGGTGTTATATATATCTTTGGCAAGAGGCAGTGCAGTGATTTTTTTTCCACTGGCTTCACCCAATAGGCATTCCGTAGAGTCTGCTCTGCAAGGCTTTAGTGGTCTCTCAGCCATCCTGTGGGATTCTCGAGTCACTGAAGGGTGGAAGTTCACCCTGTAAAATGCTTCCCTTGTTCTTCCACTTCTGATTTGAAAAACTCCATCAAAAATATGTTGGGTTTTAAAAACTCTATCATATCTACATTTAAAAACCCAATATTCTCTTCTTGAAACTTTAAGTAATTAGGCTCAAAGTGATATTACAACTGGCATGATAATATTATTATTTAAATATTCTGTTGACAATACGGTAAATTATTATCACCTATAATGCTGAAGGAATGATCGGTTATTGCCATATTTCTATCTCTTATCTCCAGTGTCTACAATTTCTTTGGACTAGATTGTCCCCCATGAGTCAGAAAACTCTCCGCTGTGTCCTTTTTCAGTGTCTTTAGACTTAGAAATTGGAAGCTCTGGCAGGAGCATAAGAATCTTACATTTTTTTCTTTTCAAGTAAATTATCTACCCTTAAAAATAAGAAAAATATAAAACAAACTTTTAATTAAATTCTTAATATTGATAATTTTTACAAATTTCTAAATTTTATCTTAGATAAAATTTAAAAAGTTAAAAATGTTTTTGAAAATATATAAAACTATTACTGCAATGTAAGGTGTCCAAATATTTTTAATTATTGTTTTCCCTCTTAGGCAGAAGGAATACTTCAGAAGTTCAAAGGAATGATTTATTGAATGATAATAAGGTACAGAGATTATAGCAGGTATATGATAATTAATTCAGAGAAGCACAAAGTACTGAAATGGTACTGAGTTAATTTCTGTAAATAGCACACCTACGGCCAACCTAATACTACCTTTAAAGATTCTACAAAGCACAAGAACATAGAAGTACACATGCAATAGCCATCAGGGCAGTGACGTCATATAGTCTCTGGGGGATTCTGCTGCACACATGAGAAAGAAGCGTGAAAAAGGCAGTGGTAGCTTAGACTGCGTGCTTTGACTGTGAGGACCCCCATGCACGGGTCTTGGGGAATCCTGGGCTCCCAGAACACATCTGAGCACTGTCACCGAGGTAATGATATTCTATAAGAGGCCCCATTTTTTGTTGTTTGTTTATTTTGCAGCCACCTGGCTGTAATAACATTCTTTGCACTTGGATTTCCCTCCCCTCAGTTTTTATGTTCACACACTAGGTTACCAGAAACAAATTTACTAAGACAAATTCAGAATATGGGGCATCCAAAAAGACAGCTGTCCCCCAAATCTTCAAAAAGTGAATGTAATAACGGTTGCGGGGGTGGCGGAGGGGGAGGTGGGAGGATGGTGTAGAATAAGAGACTAGAGAAACAGAACAGCCAGAAGCAGTGTGTGGATTTTTATGGAACCTGGCTTGAGAAATAAATACATTTTTGAACAATAGGCAATTTTTGAATATGGGATTGGGTGGGCAATTAGACAGGCATGAGCGGAGCAAGGATGATAGACCAGGCATGGAAAATCACCCAGGGGGGAGAACAAAGACAGTCGTAGAGTGGAGCCTCACCCACAGGGCAGCCTTTCCCAGAACTCAAGTATTGAGGTTGCTGAACTGAGGTCTAATCACCCCTAACATCCTGGTGCTGGTTCTCTGCTAACAGAACAGCTATTAGATGATATTTTGGAATTGTAGTTAATTTTTCTTACGTATGATGATGGTTCATAGTTAGTTGTTTAGGAACATGTTATTTTTAGGAACGTGTATGCTGATGTATTAGGGGTGAAGTTTGATGATAATCTGCTTTCAAAAAGTTCATAAAAATGACTATAAAACCCACCTAGAAAAATAGAAGGCTTGCAAGTAGATAAAGCAAAGATGGCACAATGTTAACAGCTGCAGTTTTAGGTTGTGGGGATACAGGCGATGCTTGAACTATTCTGCCTTTTAATTTACTTGATATTTTTCTTTTATTCAGTTTTTATTCTTTTAAGAAATGTTTTTATTTATTGGAAGTATTACAGACGTCTTCCTTCTTCCCCCCATTGACCCCTCAACCCTGCTCCCACATCCCTCAGGCCTTTACACACTGCTGTTGTTTTCATAGTAAAAAGTTGGTTAACAAATGAAGTCACTAAATTATCTTATTAGTATCATTGATTCATTTCAAAATTATTACCTAAAAGAAGATAGCACTGTTTTGAAAGTTACATGAGGCATTTCTAAATACTTTCACTGTAAAGTGCTTAGCTCAGTAGGTGATTAGCTTCACAGTCATTCAGATGGAAATTTCCATCCTTTCTTCTGAGTGGTGTGACCTAAGACAAGTTTCCAAGATCCCCGTGGTCTTAACTGTAAAATGGGTGACAATAACAATGGTTATTTAATAAGGCTGTTGTAAGAATAAAATTTATATTATCTAAAAAACCCTCAGCCTAGTGCCTGTATGATTCTAATCAAGCCAGAACTACTCTGTAAGTCAAATATAATAATTCAGATGTACATGCACTCATGTGGAGTCTCCCCCCGCCCCTTATTTAAGCATTGAGGTAGGATTTAATGAGAATTTAGTTCCACATCCCTGTTAGATTTTCCAGTGGAGTTTTAAGAATGATATATTGAAAAGTATTTTTTTAAGTCATTACTATTTCACATATAAAATAAGTTTTGTTAGTTCGTGTATTCAACATCATACAATATTTTTATTTATTGGTCAAAAAGGGAAAAATAAGAGAAGAGGGTGAGAAGAGAATAAACACTTTTCAGTGTCTACTATGAGTCTGGCTCTTTTTTCCATTCTGCCTGATCTGATCCTCTCAACTGTGCTAGGAAGCATTCCCACATCCATGCTTTCACCCCTGTATTCAACATATGCTCCCAAGTTGTTATTCGTGAATCACTAAAAATACAGGGGTTGAACAAGACAGAGTGCTCCTATTTTTGTGGCATCTTAATTTGATCAGGGAAAACAGCCAGTAACAAATATCCAATTATTTAATACGGTTGTAGGAGGGGATAAAAGACTTTATAACAGGAGGACCTAATCTAGTGTTGGAAGACTGGAAGCTTCCAACATTGTTGATGAGCGCTCACTGGTCTGCATATATCATTAAGAGTGTGTGTGTATGTGTGTGTGTGCGTGCATGTGTGTGTGCGTGTGTGTGTGTGTCTGTGTAAGGGGGGTGTGGAGCAGTGGGGACAGAGGACCTAAAGGGGGAGATGGAACTGAAAGGAATGTGGTGGCAGCAGGCTGCGAAGGGAAAAGGTGTGTTTTCCCTAATATAGGTGGGACACTTAAGGTCACCCAGATAAATACAAGTGAGATTTGAGCTTGGTTCTGTCTAAACCCCAAGCTCTTTCACAGAAATTATACCTTTTCTTGTTAGTCATCAATCCATGCTTAAGTTACTGCTTTGACCTACATCTGCAGATGCTTTGTCATGAAGGCTTTTGCATTTTCATTCAGATACACTGCTGTATGTGTTTGTGTGTGTGTGTGTGTGTGTGTGTGTGTGTGTTTTAAATAAAAGTAAGTCACTGTTCATGCCTTCAGATTCATCTGTTTTGTTTTTCAGTGTTCCCACATTCCAGAGCCTTCCTGAAGAGATCCTCAGTAAACTTGCTGACGTCCTTGAAGAGGTAATTGTTTTTAACACTTGAACTTTCCCGATGGGACCTAGCCCATTAGAGCTTTCCAACGATGAGTTACAAACCGCAGGGAGACCTTTTAAATATTTTATAGCTCTATATTCAGCTTCAATAAAAAGCAGCTTAGCACATCTGACATTTCCTCATAGTCAGAAATGTGCAAATCAACTACAGAGGGAGAAAAACTTGATTGTAGCAAATGTAAGGTCATGTTGACTTCCAAGAATGGCAGCTGGCATATTTCTATCTCATCTCCGTCCACATGAAGCAAGAGTGTAGTTAATCACCCCTCTGGAGGTTCGGATGAGCAGATTTACAAGGGGAATTAAGAGTTGAGTATATATTTTATTAGGACATGAGTATATTTTGCACACATCGTTATATGCCTGAAAGTGAAAGTGTCATTTTTGCTTATTCTCTGGACCTTTGAAACTCAAAAAAATGTTGAAGCAGGAGATAGAGAGGTTTGACACAGGCAGCATCCTGAGGGTAGGGTCTCTGGTGCCCATAGACACAGGGGAGGCAGAGTGTCTGGACACATGTGCAGCCAGGTGCTTGGAGAAAACCTGTTCTGGTATCTTCTGTTTCCTTGGTGATCTAGAAAGCAAGGTCGTCCCAACTGAGGATGAGGACTGAGTAGAGGTATGAGAGGTTTGAGGACAGAGGAGGTAATGTGAGAAAAATGAAAGGGGATGGACTAAGAAAGCACAGTATGATTGCGGGACATCATTCAGGCTCCACTTGATGTGTGCAATCCCAAATCTCAGCTGAACAGGCCAGGGAGAGCCTACTTAAGGCTTGCAGTAGGGGAGAGAGAGAAAACTCAACTGTGCTGGAGTGAAAGGTGGAGGACTCTTAAGACCTGAGGTGAGCTGGTGGAAAAGTACTGCAGTGGGGAGGCGGTTGGGCAATGTGACTAGGTCATCACTGTTTGCTCATTGTCCCTGTGGAAGCTAGGCTCCCACCCTCCCCCAGAGACTGGGGGATAGGGCCCTGCCTCCTTTCATGATGACATTTGTGAGACAGAGCTGCTAGGTCCTTGAGAAAGACCTTTCTGGGCTGTAACACTGGCAAAGGCCGGGAGAAGTTTTGCATCTCAAGGAGGCAGATTAAGTGTTTACAATTGCAAACTTCCTCCAGTAAATGCTCTAAGGAAAGGAAGACCTGAAACCTAGAGTCTGGAAGAAGGTGTCTCAAATTTATTCAAGGTGTGTGTGCGCGCGTGTGTGTGCATGTGTGCGTGTGTGCGCGCGCATGCATGTGTGTATGTGTGTGTGTGTTCAGCCCCATTCGTTTGCCTGAAGTCAGGTTCCAAGCAGGCAGAGAATTGGATGGAACCGGATTGGGGTTTTTTTTTTGCCAAGAAAAGATGAGTGGTTGAGGGAGTTGTGGTCAAGGGGTTGAGGGTGCATGTGAAGAAAGGATTATGATTGGCCTTGGAATTTAAACTGGGCAAGGAGAAGAGGAGCCTTAGAAGGAGCAAGAGCGAGTGAGAGATTGTAGGATCATTGGATTTGGCCTCATGACGTTGAAGAAGTTTTGGCGTTGTGCTATAACCGAGGTGAACTGGACTGGAAAGATACTGCCAGTGTTTTTGTCTCCAGGTATTAATTATAGCAGTAAATCTATAATCTGTAGAACTTCAAAGGTTCATACATACAAAGTCTCAGTTTGAGGCTTGCCAGGGTGAGTTTCCCAATGATGTATTGGCCTCCCTCACATCGGAACACAAAGTAAGGCAGAATTCACATTTGATTCCTACATTCAAGTATAAAAAATTCATGAAAAGAAATACTGGCCGTATTTCTCTCAGAATGCGCCGACCGTTGTACCTGAAACCACTGTAAATGGAAAACTGCTTTTCCTAGTTGCTTTGTTTTTTGCTTTTCATGTTGAATACACTGAAATATTCTCCAATTACCTTCTTCTTTTTTTACAAACAAAACAAACTACAAATTTATTAGTCTGAATCAAGGTCATAAAAAAAAAGCCATGCAATCCTTTAATCATTTTCTTTCTTTTCCACAACTGTGAGAGCATTGTCTATGTTTTGCAAAAACAATAACCATAGCTCCATAAATAATTCTGAGCAAAGAAATATTTTAGTGTTTTATGTCAGATTTCCGAATCAGAAGATGCCTTTAATTGATGTTTGGGTTCTGCGAGCCACAGCACAGTCTATATACCAACACCACACGGAAATAGATGATTAAGTGGCCACACATTTGTTTTGAGGACATGAAAATGAACTAAATAGACAAGATATGAAGTACACAGATAAGCATACTACCCAAAGCATGAAAGTGTTCAACTCAAGTCAAATAAACAAGCACAGTGGGGAATTAGATTAAATTATGTATCAGATAGCATGAAGCAAATTTGGAAGAGCAAAAGCAATACCAGTGTCACAAAACATTAAAGGGAATGGCTTTGCATGATAATTGGGCTGTCTTTCTTTCTACCACTATCCACAAGAAGATGAAAGAAACCCAGATTATTGTGAAAGGCAAGCAGCATTCCTCTAGCGTTCAACAAAGAAGTTTGCAGCCTTGTTTGCTCCACAAATATTTATGGAGCACCTGCCATGTGCTAGCAATTGCTCCAAGCTCTGGGGATCCAGGGCCCTGCTGTCCCATACCATATGCTTCTTGGAGGACACAGAGGAGAAGTTTGTAAGGAAAACACCATCCAGTGTTGAGTCCACTCTGTATTGTGTTACTAACGGAGACCTGTCTGCTGAGGTGATGTTTAAGCTGAGATCTAAATGCAGATATAAGATCCCATGTGTACCACGCAGAGGGAAGAGCAGGCAGAAGGTCCTGAAGTAGGAGTGAGGTTGCTGTCCTTAGGGAACAGAAAGAAGGTTTATAGTGGGGTAGGATGAGACTGTCAGAGGAAAGTAGACAAGGCCAGAGGGCAGCGGGCTTTGCCGGTCATGGTAAGGAGTTTGGTTTTTATTGTAAACACAGTAGGGAGGTGTGGAGGGGCTTAACTGGTAACATTGACATGATCAAAGCTATGTTTTAATGGTGTCTCTGTGAGAAGAATAGATTATAGAGGGACAGACCAATTAGAAGGCTACAGTGAAGTAACCCAGGTAAGGATGGATGGTTTATATGTAGATCTGCTTTCTTCTTGACTATTTCATTCATTTTACTCATTATAAATACTTTTAACAGAGAAAAAAATTAAAGGGACAGGGGAGGCAGGGACTGAGAGAAATAAAGTATAACTAGGTAGAAAGAGGAATGAACATAATGTTGCTGATATGATAAATGGATGTAGGAGGATGCATGTGGCTAGAGGAAACATGGATGATACTTGGGCATCCTGTTCCGGAGCTGAAAAAGAAGCTTGTCAGTGAGTCATTGCTGGCAGTGCCCACCCGGCCCCTACCTGTGTCCCTCTGTAATTTCTAGGATGGATGTATTCATTTGTGTGTTACTCCCTATCTATAATAATAAAAGCATAATAGACTGGACGTCCTTCTGGACAAAGCCGGGTCTTTGAGGGAAGCCCTGGTCCTGGGTGCCTGCAGAAAGCCGGGTGTGGGGAGGGGAGTAAGCCTGGGTGCCAGAGGAAGCCAGTGCCATCAGCCAAGGAAAGGAAGGCCTACTCTTGCACAAATTTCGTGCATTGGGCCTCTAGTAAAGTTTTAAAACAGGAAGTAATATCTTTATTTTTAGTGTAGCAGTTTAGTGCCATTTTCTCCCTTTTCTTTATATCACAAAGTAGATACTATATTTCTTTGTATATTGACTCTCTCATGCCCTTTTCAGGAACATATAAAAAGTTTTCCCTAGTCCCTTTGAGAAGTGTGTGTACATCCTCCTATATAATAAAAGAGAAACATACAAATTAATGGTCCCTCTGCTATGCTCAAGCCACGCCCACAAGCCATGCTCACAAACCACACCCACCAGCCAATCAGGAGCAAGTATGCAAATTAACCCAACTAAGATGGCAGCAGCCACGGAGCTGGAGCAAACAGGAGGCTTGGGTTGCCCCCGGTGATGGAGGAAGCCAAGCTTCCAGCCCACCCTGGCCTCCGCTCAAGGGAGAGAACAACAGCAGGCGCAGCCGGGAGCCTGAGAGATCAGCACAGAGGGGCACCTGCTCCAAGCCTCTGACGTGGCTGGGTGCAGGCGCC